GGGAGCGAATAAGGATGATGGGATGGGATGGGATGGGATGGGATGGGATGGGATGGGATGGGATGGGATGGGACCAGCGATGGGCATGAAGCCCCTTCCCCTTCCTGGACCCTGTGGAGATGCATCCCTGTGATGTGTTTCATGAGTCTCTCAGAAAACAAGAAAATCCCTGGTTTTCCTTTCTTTTTCCTTTTTCCCTGCCTCTCACAAAGCTTCTCCCCCTTTGCAGGACCCGATGGTGTTTATGAACAACAACGCTCCTCCGGTGAGTGGTGCTGGCCCTGGAGAGTCCAGGTTGGGGTGTATTTGGGTGCAGAGGGGTCTTCTCGTGGGGTTGTCTGGAGATGCTCCTTTGCTTTGGCATGAATGGGTGATAAATATTTATATATGTGCCCCTTGCACTGGGAAAAATAATCTGAAAATGTTAATGGGATGAGATACTGGTGCTCCAGAGCTCCCCACCAGAAGCCCTGGGAGAGGGTGGTGATGCCTTCTGCTTCTTCGTTGCCTCCAGCCAGGATTTTGTGCCTCTCATTTGCTGTTTCTTCCCTCCACAGCTGCTGCCGGAGAAGGAGACGGATTACAGTGAGTGCCCACAGCTCCAGGGGGTGTGGGGCTGCCCGTGACCCCCACCCGGGAGCACCCGCTTTGGGGCTGCAAGCGGGGAGCCCTGCGCTGAGCCGCGAGGAGCCTCGGGGCCGTATCCTGCCCAGCTTTGGGATCCTCCGTGAAAGAAATCCCAGATCGTGGGGAGCAGCTTTGCCTGCCCTGGGGGGGGGGGTCCAAGGGGGTCTGACCCTGTGGGGAGGTGGCATGGCTGGGGTGGGTCAGGGTGTCCAGCCACAGTGGGACAGGCTGCTCCGGGGTTGTGCAGGACATGGCATGGGTCCCATGGGTCTTGCAACGTTCCCACGTGTCCGTGGGAGCAGCTGGAGTGACTGTCCTTCCTTTCCCTTACTGACGGTGTAGCGGAGTTCACGGGGCCCCCCCAGAAGCCTCCAAGACTTGGGGCACAGGTAAGACCTCCACGAATCGGGCCATCACGGTGTTGGTCCTCTTCCTTCATCTCCACAGTCTCATTCCTCCTCCTCCACCTCCATTATCCCTCTGCATCTGCAGGATGGGACTTTTCCCCAGGCCCTGAAGGGGTGAGATAGACCCAGCAGCATCAGGGTCATGGGTGGGAGGTGGATGGGTCTGGCCAGGGCTCCCCATCAGTGTTGGTCTTTCTCTCCTTGCCCCCTCAGTCCCTCTGATCTCATCATGTCACCGTTCCCCGGCAGCCCATCCACCCGGCCCCCACTGCCAACCTGGACCGCACAGATGACACGGTGTACAGCAACGTCATGGACCTGGTGCGAGCCGTGCTGCAGCTGAAGAACGAGATCAGCCTCCTGCCCCCGGAGGGGTACATCCTGGTGGTGAAGGTGGGCAGGGAGGGGGCAACGCCAGGGGAATGGGGGCAGGAGTTGGGAATGAGTCTGCTGAGCGACATCCACCAAGCATCCTTCTCAGGAGGGTCTTGCACGTGGAGGAGGAAGCGTTTCCAACATTCCTAGCTCCTCCTTTGGATCATTGGGTCAATGATGGGAGAGCTTCCAACATGTCCTGCTCCTCCATTGGGTTCTTGGGTCAATGGTGGGAGCATTTCCAGCACTCCCTGCTCCTCTGTTGGGTCCTTGGGTCAACGATGAGAGAGTTTCCAATATGCCCTGCTCCTCTGTTGAGTCTTTGGGTCAATGGTGGGAGAGCATTTCCCAGCACACCCTGATTCTCCATTGGGTCCTTGAATCAATGTGAGAGAGCTTCCAACATGCCCTACTCCTCCGTTGGGTGCTTGGGTCAATGGTGGGAGCATTTCCAGCACTCCCTGCTCCTCCGTTGGGTCCTTGGGTCAATGATGAGAGAGCTTCCAACATGCCCTGCTCCTCTGGTGAGTCCTTGGGTCAATGGTGGGAGCATTTCCAGCACTCCCTGCTCCTCTGTTGGGTCCTTGGGTCAATGGTGGGAGCATTTCCAGCACTCCCTGCTCCTCCATTAGGTCCTTGGGTCAACGGTGAGAGAGTTTCCAACATGCCCTGCTCCTCCGTTGGGTCCTTGGGTCAATGGTGGGAGAGTCTCCCACTATGCCCCTCTCCCGAGTGGGATTCTTGACCCACTGGCACTGACTATTCCCATGTGCTGTTTCCCTGTGCCCATGCCCGGGTCCATCCTAACCCCGTCACCCTCCCCACAGAACGTGGGCCTGTCCTTGCGGAAGCTGATCGGCAGCGTTGACGAGATCCTGCCCGTCCTGCCCGCTGCCTCCCGCACCGAGGTAGGGCTGGGGAGCAGGGAGAGGGGTCTGGTGTGGGGTCGGGTGCTGGTGCCACCCGTGTCTGTAACCCCTGTGTGCCATGGTCAGATCGAGGGAACCCAGAAGCTGCTCAACAAGGACTTGGCTGACCTCATCAACAAGATGCGCCTGGCGCAGCAGAACGCCGTCACCTCGCTGAGCGAGGAGTGCAAGCGGCAGATGCTGACGGCCTCCCACACCCTGGCCGTGGACGCCAAGAACCTCCTGGACGCCGTGGACCAAGCCAAGGTCCAGGCCAACCTGGTGAAGCTGTGCTTGGAGTGAGGGCAGGGGCGGAGAGAGGGAAGGAGAGGAGGAGAGGGACCACAGCGCTTCGGTTGGTGGAGATAGGAGAGCGTTGCGGAGGAGCTGGCTTTTGTGTGTCTCCCGTGGCCTCGCCGTCCTGCCCTCGCCGTCCCCCCTCCTCCTGCAGCCGCTCGTGTCTTTAGCATCATCTCGTCGGTCTTCTGAAGAAAGGAGGCATCTGGTGACTGGTCCCTGGAAAGGACTGGGGGGGACCTGGCCATCCCCGGGGGCGGCTGAAGATCCCTCTGGCTCGGCTGCTCTCCCCAGCTGCCAGCAGGTCCGTGTGTCCGTCCCTTGGCCCCTCCGAGGACAGACGGCCGCGGGCGGCATGTCGCGACGGGGACCTGCACCCCGCTCCTCGCCGCCGGGGGACGGTGGGCGGGTCGGGGGGGGG